CTTTAAAATCCCTTACGGCCGGTATAATGCTGTTCAAAGCCATGCTTTTAACTTTCTAAATATCTGTCTGTTTTTTTCCCAATAAATAATAGTATTCAGAAGAATAGCAGGCTGCAATTCTGACTGGTATGAAATTTATTATGAAATAAACAGCTTTAAATAAGTACCAGAAGCGTACATGTCAACCACCTAGAAGCTGCTGTGCATACAGAAGACCAGTCATGTCTCAGGGTGATCTACAAGTAAATGGAAGTCGCGAGAAGAGTGTTCATCAGAATGAACAACAAACATTCCGTCTTTGACTAAACAACTTAGAAACAGCTATTGCTGGCTGTGTTCACGTTTAGATTTAATTATAATTTATTTTTACTTACATTACTGTGAGCTATTGAGGGCTGTCACAGGGATGGGAATGCACAATATACAATATTAAAATTCATTACGTGCAAATTAATTCTAAACAACGCTGAAAAACTTCACCTGACTCACAATTAACAAATACATTGGCATCGAGTTTGTTCCAGTCAGCACAAGACAGGAAGAAAAAAAAAACTTCAACACGGAAGATGGATACGCGGTGATACTCGGGCTGGGTTATACTCTAAACTCTTATTTACTGATGCTCGGAACGCTTATGTCAACGCGACAAATTTTAACAAACATTCACTCGCACTATAAGAAACTAGGGCAGCTTCGCAATAGGCATGTAAAGACGGAGGTAGAGCTGGAGCTGCGGGTGGTCCCCTTCTCCTCACTTTTGCCCCGCTATTTGTTTTTTGGAATTTGAAGTTTATTATAACTTTTTTATACAGAAAGAGGAGTAAAAGCTAAAGGCCATATTGCGTGATAGGGGCTCTTACTACTATGCGCAGACGACAAGCATGTACCACATATTATGATCGCGAGTTCTACAGTAAAGCGTTCAAACATTTCAAATAAACATGCATGTACAGTGTCAATTTTTATTAAAACGAACACGGGAATGCGTGGCCTGCGCGCTCCGGCAGCTGCAGGCAGCGCGTTCTAGTGGAAGCGAGTGCAACCACACCCTGTTTTTGAATCATATCGCGGAGAGCAAAGCAACCATTCATGGCTGATATGGAACCAGTGGAAAGATACCACCCCACCCTCCCTATCAAGGTGAATAACGAAAGATGTCTGTAATCACCATGAAGGGGGTAGGGATTGCTATGTTGCCGCTGGTTCCATATCAGCAATGAATGGTTGCTTTGCTCGCCGCTAGATGACGCAAAAAGAGGCTGTGGGTGCTCTCGCTTCCACTTAAACGCGCTGCCAGCAGCTGCCGGAGCGCGCAGGCCACGCATTCCCGTGTTCTCTTTTATAAAAGTTGACACTGTACGTAATTTTAACTGCAAATGCAGAAATACAGGTTGCCATTGTGTCAGCATTTAAGGAAAAAAAGTTATCCTACAGATAGTTCATAGTTAATATATGAACAGGTAGATAGAAGTTCGCTAAGGCCCCACCGCGGTGGTCTAGTGGATAAAGTACTCGGCTGCTGACCCGCAGGTCGCGTGATCGTATCCCAACTGTGACGGCTGCATTTTCAATGGAGGCGAAAATGCTGTATACGCCCGTGTGCTCAGATTTGGGTGCACGTTAAAGAACTCCAGGTGTTCTAAATTTCCGGAGCCCTCCACAACGGCGTCTCTTATATTCATGTGGTGGTTTTTGGATGTTGAACCCCACATATGAATCAAGTTCACTAAAAAATGCTTCACATTTAAAATTAAAAAATGTGGTATTAAGAGAGTCATGTGCAGTCTGCGGAATGCATGCGAAGTACGCGCCACGAGTTTGAGACTCCTAATTTAGGGTCATTCTTTTTCTAAGACACAATGTTAATGAGAACGTAGACACAATCATGCCAAAGAAAGTATAGGGAACGTCATTCGAGGTTATCTTGGCGGTAACTTATCTTATCGTCTCCTTTTCTTTCTTCACATTTACTCTGCAATTACTTCTAATTACATCGCCTATACTTTCCTTGGCATCTTTGTCTGTTGTAACTAAGCTACGCATAAACAGCACCTATATACATATTAGCGGAACCAATAGTTTGGTCAAGCTGTCAGACAAATTAGTATGATGTCAGGATATATTCTATTGTGTTTTTTCTCATTCCTAATTAATAACGCTAGCCGGGCTTGACAGTACGAAAGACAAGCTCTAAGCTACGAGAACATGACATAAAGATAAAGTGAAAACATGATCCAACAGCTGAAGTCACTTGCATTGCCATCCAAATCCTGGATATGTTGCTGCACTCAGTCCCCGGTACGAACCTCTGGCTATGAGAATAATAAATAACGGTACGACACAAATTATCACTATAGTCCTGGCTGATTACCAGCTCTCTTTAGCCGGTATGACAAATGTTCCCAAAGCAAATGTGCAGGCCGCAAATGTGTTGCACTTCAATACTGAAGGATCGCCTCGCGGCGCGTCAGACATACGGTACTTGTAAAGCACGGCCCCAATGCGTAAAAGTTTACAGTGATGTATGAGGATAATCTTAGTTCTTATTCTTAATTTTAGTCTCCCGTTCAAAAGTTTCTGGTGGTTTTGGTTTTTTTACACATTCTTTATTTTGCTATCAGCAAATTCTAGTTGACCGTAACGCATTATTTTAAAGTGTCTGTTTCGACACCTGTTATACCTTATGAATTTAATTTTTGTGTCCCCTCCTGCGAAAAAAAAGAAGAAAAATATGTACTCTTTTGTTCCACTTCAACTCTGAGCAAATGTATGGGTAGAAGGACCTTAGTCAGGCAGAGGTAATCGGCCTTTAGTGCCTTCCACCTAGGCAATATTTTTTGTCTAGATAAACAGTGCACGAATGAATGAATATTTGAGAGAAGGCCGCCAGCTTCACCATCTTCATTAGTGTAAAAAAATCGTTTCATAATGAATATACTATTGCGATAGCAATGATACTGACACTTCTGGCGGATTTTCGCCGTTGCCATCGTCTTCTTGTCTCTTATATGTATAGGTATGAATATGGATATATAAAAAGGGAGAAGTTCTGAAGAAGAACGCTACCGGAGATTTGAAACAGTGACCTCTCGCTGCGAAGCGGGCTGCCCTAGAAGGCTGTACCACACGACAAACGTGCGCTGGCATAATAACAGTGAGCTACTTATATACACCATTTACTGGTGGCGGTACGCAGATCCAAGAGGTGTGTTAGCATGTTCTCTATTACGCAACGTTCCTATATTTGCTTTCGTTTGGAACACTTCCCTTCAGACGTGCACGTGCAATTCAATGTGCAACGAAAAAAAAAAATCGCAGCATATCCATGGAGTGCATAATGATGAGTGGGCGCGAAGCATTCGTCAGTCCGTCCCGCTTCCGTACGTTTACGCGTCCGTCTTTGTGACCGTCCGTGCATCCGTCTGTGCACCCGTATGTCCGTCCCTGCGTCCGTTCATTCATCCGTGCATCTGTCTGTCTGCCCATCCGTGCTTCTCTCCATCCATCCGTCCATGTAGTGAACACTCCAAGTACCACCATCTCGCATTTTTAATCATATATTCATCATATAAAAGTACCGCCATCCAGTAGACAAAAATAGACCATCAGGAATTTGCAAAAAAAAAAAACAACATACACGATTATCCATTGGCGCGGCAAGCATGATACGTTCATTTTTTTTCTTATTCCCTGTAGAATTCACTCTTGTCATGTTTTTTTTCCGGCAATGCACGGGTCTTAAATTATTTTAAAGCAGGCATGATCCCTATTCCTTGTTAGCAAATTTTCACTTGTTTCATTGCTGCTCATAACAGCGATTTTTATTTTTAAATAACTTCTTTTTTGTGTGTAGAGTGCCTTTACGAGTTTTTAATTGTCTTCTTTCCCGCTCTTTTCTTTTCCAATTTTTGTGCTGCATATCTGTACCTAGTGTATGTTTACTGTATTGAATTTATGTATTTGTGCTTTACGTTCATGTACTAATCGTATATTTGCTATCGTATTTTCAGAGTGTAAAAATTCATGAATTTATTATTTGCATATTTGTGCTCGACATAGATGTACGTACGTACTGAGCGTTGTGTGTTATTGTGGACCGTACAGGGTCGGTGCGTTGCCAGGCGTTCAGTTGCCTTTTCACCACCCCGTCGCACTCGACCACTGGATAAATTATGTATATTTTCTATCAGGAATATAACTTCAAACATCCCAATTTTTGGCTATCACGTTGCTTACTCCATCCGTGCGGTGAACCTGTGTTTTTTTTTTTTTTAAGGTGAGAGCGTTATATGCCTGATCGAATGCGAAAGCTAAAAATCGGCATGAACATGAAAGAAACAACAATCCTCACATGATTACTTCATGACGGCGTCACATATCGTCAGTTAGTGACGTCACCATGACGTCACATATAGGCGTTGCATTATGGCTTCATCACATAACATCATCACGTGGTCAAAAGTGGACTGATCGAGGAGGCAAGGAAAAACTAGGTTGGGGGTGGGATAGTGGTCTTAAAATAGGAGAAAAGAAAAAATTGAGTCCCGCAACTGTCAGCAGCTAAGTGCGACACCTCAGCAGCAGCTCACAAGGAATGGGATAAGGATCAATTAAAAGGGATAGAGTGAGAAGTAAATATTCAGCAAGAAGAGGATTAGGACACGGTCGAAGCAGTCCGATGACGGGGCACCACTCGGCGAGAGCTTCACGGCGTTAGGAGATCTCGGATGGCGGGCCGATTAGCGAAAGCTATAGGCTGGCGTCGAAGGCGGGGGCGCAACCGTTTGGCATGGAATCCAGCAAACGAGTCCAAAACTAGGTGATTTACAGAAACTTTGCGATGCCTACCATCATGAAATAAGTGCAAAAACCACGTATTAGGTCCAGAAAACATTCTGAAGGGGGTTGGGGGGGGGAGAGATCGTCCAGTCACTTTGGACGAATGCGGGTTGTCAGCATTCTTTTTCCACTGCCTACAACTGAGGACAGAGGGGTGGTTCTTGGAGGAGCTGGTTACTACCCTTTATTTCAACCGTCACGAGTTCAGGCGGTTTCTTGGCCTTGCCATTGTGGCTCACAGCGGGGCCTCTTGACATCGTTGTTCGTGATTTCGTTGTAGTGGCGCCGCTTCTCGGGCACGCACCGCACATCACAGGCTATCACCAGGGCCCAGAGTACCAGCACGGCCGCGCCTGCAATCGTGGCGTATTCCGTACGGATGCTCTCTGTGTGAACCGCGATCCCGATACCCGCGAGTATCGTCACGGTGACGAGGGCTGCCACGATGTTGCGGATGCTGAAGATGCTCCCCTCCTCTTCCACCGGCACAGCGTAGGTCGTCTTCGACATTTTGCGCGAACAAGCGAAGTCTCGTCGTAGTGGTCTCCACGAAGACACAGGGGGACCGATTCCGCAGCTCCTTTGCTGCAAATCCATTAGACAAAACGAATAGTGTTGTTATAACAATTCGATAGTTAAAAAAGAGAGGGCACGATCACGACACCCAACATTACATAAAGCGTAGGCAGTCACCCGGAGACTAAAGCATACCCTAACTTGGCCACCACTAACAAAATAAATGTAGTCTGTCATCAAAGTCTCACACCTGCAATGACAACTTGTATCTTAAGCAGATGCTCTAACGGTGCTCTACGCCGATCAGGGACGAGGACAATATTGAAAGGTGGCATCTGACGCTACGAAGCTCATCAGAAGGTGATCAAATCTGGGCTGTCTGGAAGGCCCGTGAAGTGGCAGGGATTCTCGGTCTTTCTGTCACGACGTAAGCGTGGTCCGCATCGGTAATATTTTGAAATATGAGCCCCTTATGCAATACCGACGAACATACTGTAAACGTGGCGCGTTAAATAACCTCTATGCAGCTGACTGCTTTCTGAACAGTGCTTTTCAGCGTAGCTATTACGTCGTCTGCCACGATTAAGCAGTTGTGAAAGTGCTGGGAAGCTGACTCGAAGGTCGTAGGTTTGATCCCGGCCATGGCGGCCGCATTTGTGTGGACGTGGAATGCTTAGAGGCCCGTGTGCTGTGCCATGCCAGCGCACGTCAAAGAACACCAGATGGTCAAAATGCCTGGAGCCTTTCACTGCAGTGTCTCTCATAATATTATCATGGTTTTGGAACGCAAAATCCCAGATATTATTGATAACTATTACGGGCCTTACACGCCAAGTTGCGACTTACGCGGCCGTTTATTAATTACACCACCTGTCGTCAAAGCCAGCTTGCTATGACACCAGCGTTGGCATGTCGGTCGAGGCAGGCCGATCTTGGAGGTTAGTTAATTGGAAAAAAAACTGCACCGTCTTGAAAAGGCTTGGATAGCCACTGCTGGATAGCCACTGCTGTCCTGTCTACGTAATCTGAAATCATGGACACGATGTTCGCACAAAACTAAAATTCCTTGTCAGACAAGTCAAGACAACGACAACAATCAATTTCATCGTTACTTCATTGTATCTCACCGGAAAACGCGTCATGCACTTTTCAATAAATTTGTACTGCCTGAACTCTACAAGTGAACTTTTTTTTTGCTTGGGGTTCGCTTCACTTAAAACAGAATAAAATGCTAGAATCAAGCTATCGCTGAGTACGAAACAATAAAAGCTCTCCGTGGCGCACCATCCAACACGTTCGGAGTGAGACAGCGCCTTAACAGTCTGAATATCGGTAAAACGCTAATTGAATTATAGGAACTGAGAAAAATTAGGCTGAATAAACAGCAAGAAAGAGGAAAAAAGGAATGAGACTCGAGATGCTTATTATTGGCCGATCCCCCACAGTGGGTATGAGCCACAAGTGAAGGGCAACAAGAACAAGAACAAGCTTGACTGAAAGGAGCAGCTTTCATAGCTACGCGCGCTCAGTCAGATGGTGAAGCACACGAGAAGATGGCCTGTCACGTCTGTGGCATTATGCCAGCCAGACAAGAATAAACGCTTACCACGTCTGCACAGCCGCTTGATGTTCTAGCAGACTGCGCCGCAGACGGGACACAAGGAAAGATAAGAGAGATAGACGAGCACATATGTTTGCTAGAAGATGAACCCTTACCAACTCACCCAGTTTTAAGCGCTTGTTACAGCCGCTTGAGACCAGTTAGTGATTGCCCTGTCGCACTCGAAGAGGGCGCTTGTAGATACCAAGCTGAGACCAGATGACGCGATATATCATGGTTCGCACAAACTTCACTCAGGGAAGCCGAAGCCGAAGTGGTAGTCGAGAAACGAACGTACCACCCGATTGTCTTTCTGCGCTGGCTGCAAGTTGCTGAACATAGCCCGTTATCGTTTACAGCACCCATTAAGCGTATTAGTTGCCCTCTCTTCCGTTCTTTTTCTCCACTCTCTTCCGTTTTTTTTTTCTCCACTTTCTTCCAAGTTGCACTGGTGAGCCGTTCACCGCTTATCAGCCAACGTCCCTGCCTGGATCTGCTGTTCCATGCAATTTGGGTGCGCATAGGCCTTGGAATGCTTTCCTCTCCCAATGATCACGGCGTTCCGTCAAAAAATAACGACAGCAGACAGCGCCGTGAGAACATTTATTTGTGAACTTTTTTTTTTTAAGTAAGATAGGCACAATATATATAGTCGGTCCTTCACTCTCCCGGCTTCGCTCTCCCGGCTCCACCAAACGTAACACCATCCCCCCGTGTAGAGTAGCAAGCCGGGTGCCACCTTGTTAATTTCCCAGCCCTTCATTTGCCTTTATTTCCTTGACGTAACATAACCTATTTCCCGAAAAACATGTGTGCCAAGCGAGTGTTCAGAATCGCGAGTGTACACAAGTGAGGCCCTTGAAACTGCGCCTGTCCCATTCCTGTTCGTATGCGCAGCTCACCGATGCTCTACCGATCGTCGGTCTGTCGAGGATCAGCCGTTACTAATATTGCAATCTGATGTTACATCAAGATTACTTGCCATTTCATTGTGCGGGTTATTCTATTTGATCGTTTCACGAATGGCCATTATTGTTGCCGGTAGCAACAGGAGTGTAGCATCGCTAAGCTCATAGGCGAAGGCCCCATTACTGCTATAGACGAAGGAAGGAGTTTGGGGAAACATTGTGAACGAAAGAGGGAAAGAGAGGGAGAAAAGTCACCACTTTGCTGTCAAGGCGAAGCAATGAACGTGATAGCAACAAATTGGAAGGTAACACGCAGAATGGCAAGCAAATCGAAACGTGCCCCACATTTCTCACGCAGAAATTACGCACAAAACGTACTCAAAGGTACAGGTGAACGAGACGTCTCAGTTGTTATTTTGCTGTGTCTGAAAAGTGCGCCCTTTTCGCAAACAGGGATTGCGGAATGATTGCAGTGACTTTTTTTGCTTCCAGTAACTACAACAGAGTGTTTGTGGTGAAAGCACAAGGCGTACAATTGTCCCTACCGTGAGATAAGCAAGCACGCACCTAAGCGTCTACCCATCCCTTCTCCGCGGGGCAAAGTACGCGTGAGAGATGAGAGCGCGCGCCACCGCACCGTGACAATGTGGCGACGCGCGCTCACTGTGCCATCTCGGTAATGCTGAAGACATGATAGTTTCCCGAGATGCCCGTCACCAGCGGTAAGTGGTAGATATAATTAGCTTGTCGCTTGAACATTGAAGGAGGTGCTCTTTCGTGGCTCAGTGGCACTCCCACTCACAATTCAGAGGTCCGACGTTCGATTCCGTACACCGGAGTCTTTTCCGGAATATTTTTCTTTCTTGCGTTTTATTTATATAAATACGTATACATATATTGTGAATGACGGCGACACTGGAGGCAAAATCCAGCAAAAAGTGCCCATATAATTGCTAGCGCAATAAAAGTCGCGCACGTATATGCAAAACTTCACTTCCCTGCCTTTAACGTCGGCACTTCTCTCGCTTAGCTTAGTAAACTGGTCCTGCTCAAAATATAATATTGGGAACCCATAACCAAACCTGATGACCCAGCCAAACGCCACTCAAGCCTAGTTAAATTGAATGGCCTCGCCTACATTTGATCCATACAGGATGATTTGAGCCCGAAAAACTTACTTGAGGCTTTTGTCGTCAACTTCTTGCGATATCTCTCATTCGTATCGTGGCCATCGTTGAGGTCCATGCTAAGGTAAAATACAGAAGTTCGGAACGTCGCGACAGCTGAGGTATACTGAAAGGCATATTTATATGTTTGTGCGAACAAGAGAGAACTTGACGCACTGACTTCAGCATTGTTCTCGAGTTTTCACGTTCACGTTTACCTATACTGCAAGCTCGAATAAAAGTTAATGCTCGGATGAAGTTTAAACTTTTTACTTCTTGTTAGCAGGTTCATAGAGATGTGCATGAGAAGCTTTCGTACGAAAGGCACAGCGTTCTTCAGCAGCTTCTTAGACAACTTTTGGATCTATGTAGGAGAGCGGGAGAAACGAAGTCAGTATAGGCAGAGAGGTTCACTAAGCTTGGCTCAATCATCGACCCTACACGTGGGGTGGAGGGAGCAGGGCGAATAATAGATTATAGAGAGGAGAAAACAAGAGGAAGTTTCGGGCAGACCATTGGACGCATATATCTAAACAGTGTCAGAAGAAATACAAAAAAAATGGCTGTTCGTTAGGCTGGCTATTATGTTTTGTCTAGTCCTTCTCCGATTCATCGAGGGAAAAAAAATAAACATGGTGGCTTTCGCTTTTGACGCGGCTTTCGCAAATACTCTGTGAGTATCTAATTTCTTATCAAAGACACACCTTTAGAATATCTTATCGCTTACAGTGTTGTCGTTATTTTCTGCATATCAAGACGTCCAATTTTTCTCATCGGAGCAGAGTTGCTTGTGTCGTTTTCAATAAGTGAATTTCAGTTTCTTTTTTCGCTGACTCACTTATAAAATTTTCCAGTCGTTCTTCGTGTTATTCAGGCTTATTAGCACTTTTCCGACAAGTATCGTTACTTTAGTGATGACCGCGCTCATCAATAGCGCGTTTGTCCTTCACTAAAAATGCGTTTGTCGGTGACTTTGAGTAGTTGACTGTTGCAGTCAAACATACGTTGCCCCGCCATGGTGGTATAGTAGCTAAGGTACTCAGCTGCTGACGTGTAGGTCGCGCGATCGAATCCCGGCTGCGGTGGCTGCATTTTTGATGGAGATGAAAATGCTCTAGGCTCATGTGCTCAGATTTGAGTGCACGTTAGAGAACTCCAAATGGTCGAAATTTCCGGAGCCCTCCACTATACGGCGTCTCTCATAATCATATGATGATTTTGGGACGTTAAACCCCACATTTAAATCAATCAATCAATCAATCAATCAATCAATCAATCAATCAATCAATCAATCAATCAATCAATCAATCAACTCATTAAACATACGTTGTCTGCAATCAGCAAGTAACGTTATTCAGGCACCGGTAAACGGGCAATTAATTGAATGAAGGCCACTGCCCTTGAGGCAATTGATGTTAAGAAGTAACTATATGCTTTCGTCCGTAACACCTTTCGCACATAGTTGCGCATATTTTCGCTGTGCATAACCAATAAAGTGATTTTCCTGCAGCCCCCTTTTCGCTTTGAGTGAAATATTTTTGTTGTATTTTAAAAGAGTTTCAAAAATGAAAACATCCAGTAAATTTCTGCTTTTTGGCTTCGCGAAAGTAGCACCGCTTTTTTTGTTTGGACTTCTTTTGTGACGATTATTCGTTCGTTAGGTCAATATGATCTGGCAACTCTCAATGAGGGTGCGTTTGTAGTTGACTGGCGCACGTTTATGATAACACGTTAGCTTATGTATACAGCTTACACCGACTGCACCATTTTCACTTTTTAGCGTGTTTACTCGCACCCGCTTCAACTGTGGAGGCTCTAGATCGAGAATGCGACGAAGTGACTAGACAATAAATGTTTCGTATCATACTTCTCTTTACTACCTTGTAAGTAGTTCCACTTATACGTTATTTTTGTTTAAATTTTTAATTTATCCACGATATCATATGAGACATGACGCGCAAAATTTGTCGTTTCGTTCTGCGCAATTCTAAGTTGTATGTAGGGGGGGGGGGGGGGGCGTTATAATTGAGCATATATGCGTGTGCACTCACGAAGCTTTTATCAACGAAGCTTTCATTCTGACTACTTGGGTGTGGCAGCTGTCGAAACTCAATAAAAGCAAAAACGCCGTTGTTTCGGCTTACATATATTAAAAAGACCCCACATTAAACTTGTACATCACCACTATGGGAACATTTCCGGGGGCAGGCACTCACTTCTGTCCGGCATGAACCCTTAACACAATAGTTAACCGTTCATCCTGGCTCCAAGAAAACTCTCTTCTGAATGCCCGTGACATTTCATCATCCTGCATTATGAAACTAACCAGGCTAACGAGATACACGCGCACATAGGACTGCAGTCCACAGGAACTGCTGAGTTACCTTCCTGACAAATACTCCTAAGTATATAAATAATTAACTGAAAGAGAGAGAAAAAAGTAGAAACTTTATGTTCACGAATGCTTGCATGTTACTCTCAGACTAGCGAATCGGTGTTCCTATTTGTGACGTGTTTCGATAGTATAATGCAGACATATGCTACATTTTGCTCCACATTTGGTGTACTTTCGTGTAGCCGCCATAAAAAAGAAAGCATAGAATATGCTCTCTCAACAATCATGCAAAACTGTAGCTATTAAAACTTTACACATTAAACTTATAAACCTGCACATTAAGCGATGCTGAATTTTGATTGAGTTAATGCCGACATCAATAGAGTTCTCTACTAAAACATAGGAGATAATTTGTCTGCCCGCTCGATGAAAACGTGCAACGCCCATGTACAAAAGACTGAAATGCGGACTAACAACTAATTTACTATTCACACACATTCACGTACCTGCACACAAAAATTATAGGCAATAAACTAGGTAAACATGATATTAATAAATGATCATGAATGGTTGCATATCATTGCTGATTTAATGCTTTAGTAGCCATCGTTCCACATTAGCTTTTCCGCGTGTTACACAAAACGTGACCTAAACGATCACAGTAACACTCCCTTTAGGCCTTAGTACATCGTGAGAAATTGCAGGCATCAATATTGTCTGCCATGCCGCGTGAAGTTACTCACCGTGCTTCAGTTGTCAGACGTAGTCTTCTGCTTTGGCGAGCAGCCACCTCCGTTGTATGCTCCGAAATGCAGAAATGGGCTTGTGCGGACTTCTAGTTACTTATATTATCGGGTGCAAAGGCATCCGGACTGCCAGTAACAACTCTTCATTCTATTGGTCAGAAGGCTGAAGATACATGAGTCATAATCTTTTGTTGGCATAGTCTCGGGAAATCTCTGGAACAAAACAAAGATAAACTGCCAAGTTATGATTAGGTCGTCCGTGGTGTGTCCCAGCTTTCTTCCGAGCGCCGGCGTTCGTTTCGTCGCGTCATGCCGGCGATACCACGCCAGGCGCCAATCTACTTGGTTCTCTGGTTGTAAAGATCACTCAGAAGTGCAGGGGAATTCGCCAAATTATGCTGCTACTTGAAGTCGCACCCTTATCTGAATAAATATAATAAATGCAAAGGATTTCTTTGTGAACTTCGGCGACTTTGAGCGTATCTATCTATCTATCTATCTATCTATCTATCTATCTATCTATCTATCTATCTATCTATCTATCTATCTATCTATCTATCTATCTATCTATCTATCTATCTATCTATCTATCTATCTATCTATCTATCTATCTATCTACTATCTATCTATCTATCTATCTATCTATCTATCCACTATCCATCTATCCATCTATCCATCTATCCACTATCCCTATCTATCTATCTACTATCTATCTATCTATCTATCTATCTATCTATCTATATATCTGTCTATCTGTCTGTCTGTCTGTCTGTCTGTCTGTCTGTCTGTCTGTCTGTCTGTCTGTCTGTCTGTCTATCTATCTATCTATCTATCTATCTATCTATCTATCTATCTATCTATCTATCTATCTATCTATCTATCTATCTATCTATCTATCTATCTATCTATCTATCTATCTATCTATCTATCTATCTATCTATCTATCTATCTATCTGTCTGTCTGTCTGTCTGTCTGTCTGTCTGTCTGTCTGTCTGTCTGTCTGTCTGTCTGTCTGTCTGTCTGTCTGTCTGTCTGTCTGTCCACGTACGACTTTTAGCTGACCCGCCTGTTTGGATAATGGTATCAATACCAAACTTAGTATGGCATAACCTGACTCTATGATGAGGATATTTAACTAGTCAAAACATGAAAATCATGACATGTATGTCATGAATGTCATGATTTACATTTCATGGTCTCGCCGCTCTTGCGGTGGTTTCGTTCCCATGACATGTTGCAAAACTGGTATGGTATGACATGACTGCATGGCAAACACAAACGACAGACCGTAACATGAAAATCATAACTTGCGTGTCATGTAACATGACTACATGCCACGCTGCGTCACTTTGACGCATGTGAGTTTGAGCGCGCCTGGCGTCCTCCATCACGAAGAGAGGCAGACGGACGCTGGCCGCGCTGGTCGCGCCTGGCCGCGCGTTCTGCTAGTGTAGTGTCGCCGCGCCCAGCGTTCGCGAGCGTCACCATTACGTCGGAGTATATTGGGCCCTTCATGATCCGCTCACGGCCGATTTGCTAGCTCCACTTAAACCAAATTTTATGTTACGAGACGTGAATAGATGAGGAAGGTAAATGAGACGTCCAAATATGATAATGATGACATGGCAATCTTGTACTCCATAATTTGGCTCTGCCTCGTAACGTTGTGCTGATTTTAAATTGACATATCAACCTTCCTAATTCTTGCTTGGCATATCATTGATTCCCACTGTACGTGGGATCTGACACTTTTTATGTTTTATTTGCCAATAAACACTAGTGCACAGCGTCATAGTAGGCAAGGCTGTGATGACTGTTCAAGGGATACTCCTGTAAAATACGAAATAAATGGCTTCAAATAGTGACCGACGAATACGCATCTGTAGCTAGTATGAGCCGGCTTGGATACAGATTTGTTGCCGATACAGGGAATACATAATGTAAGGTTATGTAAATAAAAAACGAACAGGCTAACAGACAAACTTGTAAAAACAACAGCAATCGAAGACAGAAGCTATTGTTGAGGAGACGCTACATAAAGAACAGTTTCAATCGGTGATCACTTTTATTACTTCAAACGCTGTACATGACAAATTGCAACAGGTATTCATACGCTTCTATAAAAATATTGTGCTTCATAACTAAAAAAAACTTTGTTGTGTGAACTGGAATAATACGTAACAGCAATTTTTTGTGTGTGAAGTGTCCAAGTACGACTTCATAGTAAAGTGCATTTATTTTATTAAGTAGTTTATTTGTGAGGGAACAAGTACAAGAAAGCATCAATTCACGTAGTTTGGATATAAATAACACAAATGAAGTACACTAATACACGAAGTGAAGGAATTTATAATAGAATAATCAAACGCACACCAAGCATTGTTGCCAAATAGTTATTTTCCATTTTACGTAAGAATAGGCTTGTTTGATAATGTCGTGCCAGGTAAATATTGCTTGAATACTAACTAGTTCGAATTGTAATACTCGGTTTATTATCTGAATTTTTCTTTTTTACTTATAGGTGTTTCATGAGCAGGCGTTTAATGAAGGTTTACGAGTGCTCGGGGAGTAAACTTTCGCACTGCACTTTGTTGCTCTGTTCTAAGCGGCAGTTAACAATAGCATAGACACGGGTGCATTCAAAACGGATCAAACCAGAGCATCACTGAAATATACTATATACAATATTTACTCGTCGCTACGCACTAGAGAATAAGAAATAATAAAAAAAAACTATCTACGCAGGGAGGAGTACTTCAGAGAATCAAAGGATTTAGTATAAATATTTTACATGAGCGCGTTTTATTTAGCTTTGATGATTTGACTAGGTGTTACTTGGGTGAAAGTTCCTCATTACCTCGCATTTGAAACTTTTCGTTTGTTTGTTGGTCAAGTGTCTCAATTCTGATCTAATTTGTTTCGACAGAGAGAATCGTGGTGTTTGGTGCGGTATACTCTAGGCAACCAGTCCATGTTTTTGTGTTTTGTCACTGCCGACAACACTAAAGGTGCGTTTCAAGTTTATGCAAGGAACGACAGATGTTGTCTCGCTACGTAGTCCTATTGAGGTGCCAATAGAGGGAGAATGAATTAGCTTAGAGCTAATTATCTGGAGAAAACGTTATAATTGCCTAGCGAATGTACCAGTAAATTCAATGCATAAATGAAACTGTTTGTTCCACTGTAACCTAAATGTGAAGCGTGTAGAAGCACTAAAATAAAGGCACTTGTCACATTTTTGAAATTCGATGTCACTGTGATAGCTGCCTCCACAAAGCTTATGTAAATAACACATACGTCTAAGACAAATATCTCAGCTTACGCGAGCATAAATATTCTAACAGATTCACCTACAATTTATTTTTCAAAGTTGATAAGCAAATAAACAAAAGTATGACAATTTCTGCTCACAGAGAGTAGAGCTAAAATGTCTGCAAAAGGTAATAAATTGTATGCCATTTCTTTCTTGCAAACATTCGTAGGAAGCGCGTAGAAACTTCTTGAATGTCAAAGACAGTCAGCTTTTTGCTTGTGCTTGGGGACGGTCTGAGGACAGCGCCAGATCGACAAAATATATATTACTACTAAAACACAAAGGGACGGCTTCGGCAAGGACTAGCATATTGCGTGACGCAACAAAAGGGACAACAAACACTCGCTATACACGACTAAGTTAACCTCTCAAACACTGCTTTGCGAGGGCTCTGTCGATTTTGAGACCTCCAGAAGACGAGTGCGAAGCTCTAGACAAATATTTCGTCATTACGTTCTATATCCTGTACGTAGTCATCGTGAATGAAAGTGCAGTGATGGACAACGCTAACTATAGCGGGTAGACTTTGAGTGCGTCTTTTAACGGAGGAGTGTGCAAGCTTATAGCCACGTTAAAGGTATCAGTCGAAGTTTAATGTCAACGCGGATGAGAAGACGAAGCTTACTAGTTAGTCAGAAGTGGTGAATGAGTATCCAATGTTGCTCAGTTTGAGCTTGTGAACCTTGTTACGAAAAAAAAAGAAAAAACACGTCACCTGCTGTATGCTCGCACTTCGAAGCTACTCGCGATGACGTAGCTGCCGCGGCTAAAAAGACCATGACTGCGATAACTGCTTACAGTGCTAACGCCTCAGTGTTGAACTTAGAGTATAGCTTCATAGACTATAAGTGGATTTTGACATCAATATTTAACAACGCAAAAGCAAAAAAAAACGACAAAAAACAACTAAATACAAAACTTCGGCATCACTGAAATAGTGGCTGGCTATATGTAGTGTCATATCATCCATCACATGCATGCTCAGTGAGCCAACGGTTTCACAACGAAAGTTCTCCGAAGCACTAGTAAATAAAAAAAATGTCATTGAGGACACGCACACTGTAAACCATACGCTTGGTTACATACTGTACAAGTCTGGCGTGGAAAAGCCTCTTTGGTTCTCGCTATTTAAATAAGAAAAAAGCCCGCGTCGCTATATGTATCTCATTTCTCTCGTTCTGTCAATAAGGAACGGTGCTCCTGGAAACCTCGTTCAAGACGGGTGACAGGTGTCAGTGCAGGTGCGGCGAGCTGTACGGATCGAAGGAAAGAAGGCACGTCTTCAATATTTCGCTCGACGTCTTCTTCGGATCGAGCAGGAGGGGCTCGCTGTTGCAGACCATTGAAGAGTATCTTGCGCTCGAGTCGACTCAGAAAGGGCTTCACTGGATGAAAGTAAAGGTTGCACCAACATCTGTCAGAAGAAAGCAAGCAAAGGCGAGATAGAACCGTTAGGTGTGCACGTGCGGTACGCTAGACTATTACATACGTTTGATAACAAACAGCCCGCCATGGTAGACTATAGTCATTATGTAGCTCTACTTACAGAGCGAAAATCGTGGGATCTAATCCTGGCCACGGAGATCGCATTACAACGGAGGCGTAAATTATCGAGACTCGTGTACCTATATTTAGGTGCATGTTAAAGGACATCAGGTGGTAACGATTACCGGAGCCCTCCGCTACGGAGTGCCTTATAACCGTATCGTGGTTTTGGTAAAACAGCTGCTTGGGTGGTTTTGATTCATGCTCTAGATTTATTAGCGCGAGAAGACGAAACACTTTAGAAGGAACACGCAGCGCTGTGTATGTTTCTTTTGAAGTGTTTTCGCTGGTAAATCTATCTTCAACGTTTAGGAAGAATAAGAGCGCACTGAAAAGAAGGGTAATAGCGCACCTTTCCACCTTGGCTATCTTCAACGTTGTTGTTTAGGCTGTAATGCTGAAACATTTCTTACTGTAAGAGTTCACTAAATGAGGACGTGTGTATAGTACTAATAGTATACTAATGATTACGTGTCTATATCAATAGTACATTGAAATATAACGCTTATAATAATGATACTCTATAAATAATCGCATGTCTATAAATATAAAAATACAGGCAGTAAGAATAGTATACAGGGTGTTTCAAAAACTGTGTATGACCATCCTAAAAATACATTTTCTGTAGCAGCAAACACTTTTAAAGGGCTAAAGGATCGCGTACGACCGTTAGTAAAGAAATCAGGTTAGCTGTTTCTTAGTAGGGCCAGACAGTCTAGTCAGACGGGCGGGTTGGAGACCTTATACGAAGACGCCATCTCTTCTTCAAGATTCCTCCAACCCACTCTTCACAAAAAAAAAAAAAAGTGGCCGCTAGTAGTTTTAGCAGAGTGATGAAGTCTAAACAAATATCACATGACAGAATATAATTATAAAGGTGGAACTGCCATTTATTTCAGAGACGCCCCAAATGAACGAGCGTCGTCATTTCAGTCAACAATCGACTTCGCTTGGTCTGTATGCTGGCTGTGCTTGGGTTTACAGCACACGTAGCTCATGAGCGTTAACAAACATAGATCCAACCCCCCTGAAGTTAGCTGCTGTGAAGGGCGACGTCCTTCTGGTCGTCTGCTTGTTTCACTCAGTTGATTAGGTGACATGCTGAGATGCCCTATTAAACGCTGAAACTGACCATCGGTGTTGGCATTCTCGAGATTTGGTGCGACCTGACGATAAAAGGCGAGAGACCGGCGTCGGCGTCGACACGAGTGGTGGCGAAAAAATTCACCGTCACGAGATGACATCTCCTCATGGTGTCGTCATGACATCACCTATGTCTCCGATCCCAGAGTCAATTGCATCACGATGTCAATGCCTCAATTCTCGGAGGCAATGTAAGAACCACGCTAGGTGGAGAAAGTTTGCGGAGGTGGGTGGTATCAATACCACTGACTGTGAAGAAAAGGATTACTTTTTAGCCTTTTAGTAACCTTAGGCAAATGTTCAAGGGATGCCGTGTGTTTTTAGGCTTTCGCCTTAATTACTATTATGGCCGATACCCCGTATCTCTACCAATTGTCATGTAGTACTTTATACGCATCAAACCAGTCACATCCGAGGCACAGAACAAACTCAAGCTGTGTCCCCACAAACGACGAAGTTTAAAAACACAATGTGATAATGATTATGTACAGGTCATGAAGAACCGCCTATAAAAGTCCACTACTATTTACCTCGACAACAAGGCAACACTCGGCTAGGAGAGGCCCAGAATCAGGCTCAGCAGCACGGTCAGCAAAAGCGGTTTCAGGCAGCCGACGGAGTTTGTGATGTCTGTAGGAAACCGAAAGAAAAAAGCAAAAAAAGTTCAATCTTTTTATTTTTACTTTCTAGGCCATTCCCTTCATCTACTCCAATAAGTTAGCTGTGGAGGATTTGCGCACACTGGAAAACAATAAATACATATCGAAAATGCTCGTTTTGCTGGATGATTCTTGTATATCAGCCCAAAGTTTTAGGCTGGTAAAACGGAAATCCTCTCATTAAGATATGTTCTGGAGGAGTGGATCGAAATATCGCAGAGCTTAAAAGACAAGTTCTTAGGAGGATATGTTCTAGAGGAGTGGATTAAGATATCGTAGAGCTCAAAAGACATGTTGATTACTGTAGCGGCTGCGGAGAGCGGTTTTTTGTTTTGGTCCCGAAGTTATAGATATATGTTCAAGAAATCGATTAGATTAAAAGGAACCAAAGCATTATCTTTACAACTCCGCAATGAAAACGGGATGACAAATGTATAAACAATAGGCTATTTCTCCCTGTGGCATTTTCAAAAATACAAATTTCATACTTACTTTCATCTGTTTCGGCATGCGCACCTGTGTGAGAAAAAGAAGGAAGACCATGTTAAAAAAAGAAAGCTCGTAGCAGGACAATTTTAAATAAATAAAGAAAGAAAATAATTCACAACATGATACAGACTTTTCTGCGGAGTTCTAAACAGCTTAATTGCGAAATGCAAATAATTTTGAGTATAACTAAAAAAAACCTGATAAATGTGCGTTAAAGTTTACTTTCATCACGAGGCGCCGTATCAGGACAACTCTATTCGCTTAATCAGTTTCATACTGTTGTACCCAAAATTGTATTATTTGTTAAAGTAAAACAAATTGACTTTACTGTGCGTATAAGCTAGCGGTATGACTTGGAAGTTGTCGATATCGGGTAATGCCTAAAGCAATGCGTCTTCGCCTATAATTCCGCTCTCTCGTTTAAGGCGTGGTCTACATTTGCTAGGGGAGTTCATATTTAAGTGATGCTTTTTTTCTGAACCTCGTGTTTTTCGGGTCTTACCTACAGCTTCTTTCTCGCGCTTTAAGGCACGCTTAAAAGAAAAGAAAACATTGGTGTACAAGGAGGGGTGTTTCGAGTGAATGAATGCAATGTAATATATCCATAAAACGAGTCTTTTTCTCTTCAAAATCCCTTCCAGCTTTCGTTACCCGACTTCTGGTCCATACCTAACCTCTCTTACGCCACTTCCGCTGGGCCATGTGACTTGTCATTATACACCCCACGGCTTAGACGGGCTTTAGCTTTGTACTTCTAATACGTACTTAACCTGGTTTCGTTGTACACTTCAGTTCCGATATCAGCCTAGCTGGGGAACACCTATTAAAAGTTGTTCCGCACCTTTTAAGGTGTGGAACACCTTTTAAAGGCCTCTGAAGGCCTCTTAAAAAATTCGGTCATGAACACTCGTCCACATCATAGGGTGACCTTAGTGGCACACTGATTTACCGGCTTCAGAGCTGCAGTCTCAAGCCCGAGTTCTGAGCGATGTTAGTGCACGTTGAACCACACATAAAGGTCTAAGTTATAAGGGAAAGGAGACAGCCACCCACTTTGTAGCACGGCACCAGAAGGTTAGAGTTTTTACCAGCTTAAGTTATGTAGGTCGTAAGGTTCTACGGAGCCCTCCAATAAGGGCAATCTCTCAATTGCTTGTTGTTTTTTTCGTCACCTTACGCTAAACAAACCAACCGAAAGACCCAGCACAATACGTCTCACTGCGTGCAACTGAAAGACGGCTGAAAGAGGAAAATGTGAAGAAGGCTCGCTGTATGCAGATTCCAACAAGGTGTGTTTAATCCATGGCACGGTTGTAGGCAACAGCTTTTGCCGAGTGTTGACAGAAGACGTCAGAAACACGCGAATAAAGCTAACGAATGGACAAAGAATATGGCCTTCTGCATGCATGCAACATGTCCGTTTGCATTCGGCGACCGTAGCCCTGCAAAGGGACAAATGAATACATGCTGACAAGCTTGCCTATGTGCGGGACCCAGCCAGTCACTCTCAGTTCCTGTATCCACGCTCAATAGTAGAAACGCTATGCGCATTAGACGCAGGGAGTACTAATGACTGACGCACACACGCTTTATTGCGGACAAGCCAGGTGAAAATCTATTCTGCTTGACGCAACCAGGTGGCACCTGTAACAACGTAGTTGACATTTACATTTCGAACGCAACTCTTTGGCGAGTGTGTATACACCGGAAAATCATTCGAAGGTTCTACAGACGGAATCTACAAAACAACTGCAGCCTAGAGAAGCGTCTTCTGCCTAATATACGCGCATAGCTTAGTGCGCCAAAAAAATCCGAGTTTGAAATGGAGCGGCACCTCTGTAGATCTCATCAAGGAAACGGAAGTCGACAGTGCATGACATTGAGGCTGCTCATTGTGAAACTTTTTGGCTAGCTTCAAACAATAGCTAAGTAACGAAGTGACGTTGAATCGTTTGTCGATCCCATTAGTGAATCTCGGGGTGCGTAACGGCACGCGACGAAAACAGGCTGCTTGGCCCAGCGCTCGAATCAGCGCTGCTTTGCCTGAAGACGGGAAAATACTGTACGGTGTGCTAAAAATAACAGGAAGTGAATGTTTCGGTACGTCTTGTAGGGGAGTATGTAGAGAGGGCTGTTGGCGGAACCCGCTTTCAGCTTTCACGTCGGAACGCTTTTTGTCCATGTTAAGCACACCATTCGGTTTCGAGCTATACGACCTGTGAAATCGCTACATATAAGACAAAAGAATAACCGCCCGAGAGCACAGATAAACAAAATGTGATACAAGCTCGTCCTTCTGTGCTGTTTCTTTGTGAACGCACGCACTGAATCTATATGTACTAGCCCGTTTACGGTCTCTTGAAGACGAAAGAGCGAATGTTGGGACGATGGTTGTGTATTAGAGCCCCTGAAGTGGGAATAGCTGGTTAGAAGCACGCCACATTTGTAAAACAAGCCCATTCTTTAATGACAACGAACGCCAGTGAGCAAGCACTGGTTCGTTCGCGAGGTGCCAGCATTAACGCGGAAGTTTTAGGCAGAAAGGGATGAGCGTATGTTGCACAACAGGAAACAATAGATGCTCCGAATGATCGTATCTGTCACCGCGTTGTCGCGCGGAGCATTTCGAGTTCCAGCAAACTTGCACAAGTCGTCTGTCTCTTTGTCTATATATTTAGTAAATATATATATCTCTATATATATCTAGTATATATCACTATACTGACTCGCAAACTTGTTTCTTCGCTGTTGTGATTTTTTTTTCCTTTTCCTCGAGCTTCGATATTCGCAAATGCACCCCCCTCCCATTCTCTCTCTCTCTGAACTTCTCGCTCCCTGGCCCAGTCAGCGTCTGTGCTTCGGGAAACCTGCTTGCGCGGCTGCACGTCAACCGGGCCAAAGTCATGGCCTGCACGTCGTCTTGCCTCTCTTCCACTGAGAGAAGCATGTCTGTGTGTGTGTGCTTACGCGATGCGTGCTGAACTGGCGCCTTTGATATTTTCTGCTGATCTGGCTGGCCAACCCGATTTACCGGAATCCGATTGACGCCTTCTCTCTTGATGTAACCGGATTCCGCCTCTTCCCCGTCGGAATTGTCTTTATCTTATCCCGTTATACTATCTCTATCTCCCTATTTCCCCATCTTTTTTTTCTTCTTTCTCTATTCTTTTCTTGGTTTCCGTCATCATCTTTCTTCCTGCCCGTAGCTGCCCCCCGTTTTCCCTCTAATTCATTTTTCTTGGACACACGCAGACGCCCCCGCTCTTAGCGCCGACTTTCCCGCCCGTGAGTCTGGAACACTCGACTTGTACCATGTGCTCTCTCCGCCCGTCGAAGCCACGGTCTTTATTAATGCTGCAACGTCGTCGCTCGGCGAATCTATTTCGCCGGCCTTGCCTCCGACCTGCCAACTTCCTTCGATCTATTTCCGAGTGTCTTTCTCTCTTTTTTTACCAAGACCTCAAAGCACGCCGCACTGAGTTAACAGTTCCTTCTAACAGATTAAAAACTTCCGCGGAGTTCGCTGCTGCCAAACAGGTTGTACTGGACAGTTTTCACATGGCTGCGCTCATGGAACTGGAAATCGTTAAGGAAGTCAAATGTTCCTAAAATTTAAAGCGAACTTGTGCATGGTGAAATGATCTAGCTCTCTTAAATGCTAGTCCATTAACAAAATGAAACCGCGGTTACGGAGTTTTGGTGGCAGAAAGTGCGAAAATGCTTGTGAATATACTATACTAAAGTTTAGGTGCTCTTAAATAAACTAACTGAGAGGGTACATTCTATTACGTCGTGCCTCACAATGACGATCCGATTTCATTTGAAAGATAACTTCCAAGAATCTAGGAAAATGGTGTATACTGCGCGCAGTTTAAATCACACCTGTCAAGAGCAGTCGAGTGGCTGCTGGCACCATCCACAGCTGCTTCCTTGTGTTATCTACAGAGCTTTCGTTCATACCTGAATTATTGCACATAGGTATGTGATATGGTTATATTTAGTATTATTAAAACATCGTTCTTACATTTTTCTGCAAACACAAAAAGCTGGCTGGAGGGGGGGGGGGGCATTTAAGACAAGTGTGATGTGATACCGAATGTGGTACGGCTGCCATTATAGAAGCTTTATGCTCTCTTGTTTCTGGGTGTGAATGAAGCATACTGCTTACTTATAATAATTAGATACATCTCTAGAGCTAACATTTTTCAATTATTTTTAACCATTTCTGACAATCTTTGGTTGGTGTGAAGGCGTTTGAATATTCTAGCGGTGCCAAGAACGTTAAAACGAAAAAAAAAGACCTTTTTTAGAGGGTACAAGAAGGTCCAGGGATGCCTAACAACCCCCCTTTCTCCCTAAAACCCCATGCCCCACATTTCTGTCGCTGATGCTGTTGCTTCGCGAGACAAGCTTTTGTCGAACTTTTATCAACATAAATATGGATACTTGTGCTTGTGGGGATCAGCAGTGGACAACCAAGGAAAGACTCTAGAATAACTAATTGTTGGCCAAGTTGTTTTTAAGCATTCCTTTGTTAGTTGCTTCTACAGCGCACAGTAGCCATTTCAGTCGTAGAAAACTTCATTGACTGCTCGCTTCAATGAAGATAAGCACCCTGATATGAAGGGTGGTTTAAAGCTGAAGAGGTCTTTGTTATAGCATTGATTGTCATCGAACAATAGTCTAACGCATGGCGAAGTTAGAAAAGCCAGAGCACCAATTTTAGTACGTTAAACACGAAAAGCAAGCAGGGAGCATGCGACCAGCGGGCTTACCGTGCAAGTCTCTGTTCATGGATCGGGCACTATGGCTTCCAGCAGCCCGGATCGGACGCCCTATAGGAAGGATAGGCATGGAAGGACATGCAGGTAACTCTGTTAGATGCGGAAGCTGTAAGCATTGGTTAAAAAAAAGGCAGGTATACGGCAAGGACACGGGTAAGTGACACAAAGCTGACTGTTAAAGTCGTTATGCCTGTATTACGTGGCAATTGAAAGATAGCCATATTCTCCTGGGTGACCATCGCA